GTATTGTGGCGTACGCACTGGCCACTTTCCAGGTACGCGCGAATCTCTGAAAAGCTCAAATACGCGCGCGTGCTACACGATGCGCCATTTGTGAAAGAAACAGCAGCGAGAAAAGCCATTAACGATGGTGCAAATAAAAGCTGAAAACGAACTGCGTGACGCCAGCAGCTAGAGTGAATAATGTCGAATTCGCCCGGACACGCCAAGCGCATCGATCGTGAAAATGACGCAAATTTTTCTTCCGCAGCTGAGCCGATCGTGACACCTTTTTCTTTTCTTTCTTTTTCTCCTTTTTAATTCATTCCAGTCGCGTTAAGCGAAGGTTTATTGCCCGCAGAAAAAAATAAAGTAGAAAAGTCAATTGATTTGATTTGCAGACACGTGCGCGCGCAGCGAGCTTTGTGTTTTACAATTGTAGTTTGATTTTACGAGGCATAAATTAATATTGTTTCTAAATCGGCAATGAAAAATTATAAATGTATCTTTCAAAGCTCGACTCACGCTGCTTGCGAGCGAGTGAGTATAATATCCGAGGCGAGCGCGAGGCATACTGACAATACCGCACGAACTGCTCGTAAATATAATTGAGTAGTTTCAAAAGCACACAAAGGATGAAAGAATCGGCCGAGATAATAATACTACGCGTTTGCATATATCTGCATGTAGTTGCGAGCGAGCTATAACAATTAGCCAGGACGCAAGCTAATGATAGATATTAATTCGTCTCGAATCAAGTTGTCAAAATATCGATTCGCCTTTAACATGTAATGCCAGATCCTCCTTCGCAAATCCGTCAATCAATCACGGGGTCTATCTATGTAGCTGTGTCTGGGCACGACTTTGACTTGTCTCTGCGCGTACAATCGGTGTTTTTTTTCGCAGACGCATCTCCGTGAATATAATAACTATTGTGGGCGCGCGAGGTTTTTGGTCCGAGAGCCGGAGATAATAGCGTCTGATCTTATGATTCCTGGGATAGACTACGAGCAAGAGAGGGCTACGTATACGCGATACATAAGTATATGCACGATCGTCAAGGTCGGCTTTAATTCGATAATTTGCCCCGATACATTTCGTCATTTGTATCTCGCTCAAGGTATCCGATACGTATCCGCTCGCACCTTCGTCGTGAGAATGTCCACTTTCTTTTTTTTACATTTTCTTCTCTTTTTCTTTGTCAAACTCAGCGCAAGTACGCCAGTTTTCATTCATTCGGGCACGTATAACATGCTCGGTTGACACGCAAACGTCCGTTTTTCATAATTTTTTTTTCCCGCGAAATTATGAATATTCTAATGTTCACGTAGAGCAGTGGTCGTGCGCGCGAGTTGTACATCACGTTCCGCTGTATAAAGTTAATTGAAAACCGACACTAAGGAGCGAGAGAGAGAGAAAAAAAGAGGTAAGCTCGGGCTCGGAAATTGCGTGTAGTATAGACTGGCCGTTCGTCATCGTAAATGTGTTTATTTTGCGAAAGATCGAGTGTACGTACGCGACGCTCGTAAAACAATAATAAATTTCAAGATTCCGTAGCGGTCTCTCCCTCGTTACAAATGAGCCAACGATATAAAGTGCAGCAGCTGCAGCTCACACCTACTCCGCTCGTCTACTCATTCAACATGTGTGATTCGCGTGAACGTATCGATACGCGATCGGCTGGTAATCGGTATATCCTCTTGTAGACCACAGCTGGTGTTGACATTTCTGAGCGATCGCGAGCGACGCTGTCAAAGTAAAACGAAAGCCGTGTAAACAAGGTAGATTTTTGCGTGCTCGCAACAAAGAAGAGAAGCAGAGGCAATTGTTGGACATACCGAGGCGTAAAATCGTTTCGAGACTTCCGACATTTTTCGCGCATTCTGCGGTCAAGCGTTTAAACACGATTGTGGGCGCGTGTCTAGGCGCATTCATATAATAGCAAAACATAGACACAATAGCGAGACGTGACGCGTGCGCGCGTGCAGTACATTAAGTACATTAGAAATTAGGCCCTCATTTTTCGAAGCTTAACAGCTCGAGCGTGTGCGCGATGTGCGTGCAATAATTGTTGCTAGCTTCGAGCATGTAGAGTACGTACGTAGCCGCACACAGGCCAATAAATCATCGTCCACGCGTGTAATTACGCTAGCCATGCACTATAATTTTCTACTCTCTCTCTCTCTCGCTGGAGCACGGCGTGATAAAGCAAAAGTCAACACAAACCGAGTACGCGAATACGTAATTTGATTATTTTTCTCTCCTCTCGCATCTGTACGTATACGTATGCATACACGAGTATATTTAATCGAGTTGCGAGCGCGCGAGAAGCAAGAAAAGGATATCGATTCAGATGTGCAGCATCTCTCGAGCTTGTACACTGCAGGTATAATGGAGTGCGGGCAAGGAGGCGCGTTGGCCGCACGTTTGGTCTAGGATATAGCATTACACGAGATACGTCTGCTGCAATAATAGTCGGCGATGTACCTGCGCGCCTTGTACGTGTGCTCCGCAGCACGCAGTGTACAACGTGTTCGGTATAAAGACTCGGGTGTACGCAGCCTCGTAATACAACTACTTAGCCGACAGGTGCTGAGAGAAATGCAGCTTGTAATTCAGACTCACGAATACGTATTATGTGTATACTGAACAAGCCTAGGCATTATATCGGCTGCATTGAAACGAGCGGCTATAATGCTTTAAATGCGCAGCTCGTATCGATTGTAAATAGTCGCGCGCGCTGCTAAAGGGATCCAATTCGCATGATGGATAGATGAATGGGATACGGTATAGGATTTCGACTTGTGAGAAGAAAATATAATCGGGCCGCGTATCGGCAAATTGAATCGTTGCGCAAACCTATCATTGTTGCGCGATCCGTATCCAACTCTCGGCTACAAAAAACAATCGCCCCCGCACTTGTGCGCGCGCGCTGCACTTCTAGCGCCACTCGAGTCTATAACAAGCGGCGGGTGACGATCGACTTTTTCCAACCACGTGCGAGTCTGTTTTCTTAACGAGAATTGAATTTTCTCAACGATCGGCTTATATTATCTTTGCCCGAGAGATTTTGATATTTCGTCAGTGCGCAAGTACTTTTGTGCATGCAACACGTACGCCTCGAGATCGAACGACTCTACGATCGTTCGCGTATTTTTTAAGCTTCGCATACTTTCGATTGGCCCTCGATTACAGCACATACATCGTGATATTATGAAGTGGAGAGCGCATCGAATCGCTGACACGGCTCGCGGACAAATCGATCGCGCGCGTGTATATTTACTTATACAATGTAAATAATCGCCTGGCACTGCAGTTCCGATCGTCAGCGCGACGCCGATTATTAAACTTTTCTCTCTCTCTCTTTCTTTGATTGCTCAACTGCGATCGCGCGTGCATAATACCTTGCGCCGATCTCCGATCTGTAACCTACTTATGCTCGTTATGGCTGAATTGTATCGACGAGGCAAATTTTGTTTTTATTATAACGTCATACTCGGTGCAAATCGTGTATAACAAGTTCGTGCACACACACGCGCTCAGAGAGTGAAATTTGTCGCTCATTATCAGCTCTAAAATAGCTCTCTTGTACTGATTGATCTGTCGCCCGAGCTCGTCGATCAAACGAGGAAGTGTTTACGAAACCGATTAAACATTTTTTTCTCTCTCTCTCTCTTTGCTCGGTAGTTTTCGTTGATAACAAAAAAAGGTTACGTCGTGAAATAGGTCGTTACAGTAGCTGTTTGTATCAACACACAGAGAAAGAAAGAAGCGGCCAAGTAAGAGTGAGAGAGAGAAAGAAGCGTCGGCACTACTATCTACATATTTGCCAATAATATACAGCTGGCCTAGTATAAGCGCACGCGGAGGCTCCTTCAAAGACATTAAACGAGTAGCGTCGTTCTAATATTGTGCGTGTGGCTCCGATGTCTTGTGTATGGCAAAGCCGTCGGCTCGCGCGTTTCGAATGATGCACGTGTCTCGCATTATACGGACAATTTTGTTTTTAACTCGTCTCTATGCGTCTGCACTGCTCCTCCCCTGTATATAATGGTTATTAATAGCCACGCGGCGCTAGTCGAAAATTTCTCGATGCGTCGTCGCCTGCAAATTTGCATAATAATTGCCCTCTGCGCTGCTGCTGCTGCCATCGGCAAACTCGGCGCTCGTCTATTTTTTCTCCAGTCAGTCAGCGCGCGTATAAAAGCGCCAGAACGACATTAAAACTTTGCGATTGTTTGCACAACTGCGGGCGCTGGGGTTACCTACGGCTCTATGTTGTACGTGTGTGTGTATGCGAGACCAGCGACGAACGGCACTTTTATCGCGTCTATAATATGCAAACTACATGTATGTACATGTAATACTCGTCTATACGTTCGAGAAGAGAAGAGAGAGAAAGAGAGTGAAGAAAAAAGAAGAAAAGAAATAGCTGCAGTCATGCTTTTATCGGTCATTGTCGATTGTTGCGCGCGTGTACGCGAAGCCGATTATAACGACGGCCGACTCTATCGGGTGCCGATGTACGTAGGTCTCGCTGTGTTGCAAAATACATGCAGCCAAAGTCGCGTGGGCCACGTTTCTGGTACATATATGCGAGTATTATAAGCGGATCACTAAATTTTTTTTCGCGCGCGCGCTCCATCCGACTCACATGTGCTGCTGCTGCTGGACTGGACTCGATGCAGCCAACCATAAAGAATATTTGCAGCGACGTGTTTGTAAAACACACGCCTTGCGAAACGTCTCTGTCTCTCTTTCTCTCTCTCTCATTTCAACTGCGGCTCGATCGTATATTCGTACGTATATGCTTTTTCTTTCGGAAAGCTCGCGGAGCGAATTTTAACGATTCATCACTGAAAATTCATCGAGACACCGTCGAGTTGGATATTTTTCGCTCGAGCGCATCGCCGAGATTTATTCAAAATGTAACGAAATATGCCCCGACGATTGATTCATGCAGAAGTCAAGAGTTTTATTCGAAAAATCCAAGGAGTCGAAAAAATACATGATTATATATATACCTGCTGCGCTAGTCTAGGACAATCTCCACTCCAATCCATCCATGACTTCGACCTGATATGAGTATATCTAACTGCATTCACATGTCTTCGTCAAAAATCAAACGAGCAAGATGTTGCACCAAAATTCACTCGAGCACAAGGTAAACGCGAACTTCAAGCGGCCTGCATTCGAAGAATGTACAAAAAAGCAGTGAACGCCTCTCACGGCCTTTACAATAGTCAGGCAGGAAAAAACTTTGATTAAAAGATGAAAATAAAATTAAGGAATAAGTAAGCCGCGCATCGGCAGAGGAGCGTATGTATATAATACGAAGCTCGTGGGCCTCGGGACAAGGCAGATACGCACGCGGCCGGAGAAGCGGAGCGGCGCCGGACGACGACGATCGGCTACTGACTCGTGGCTGGCTATATCGAGAAGCGCGTGCCTCGTGCGCTTCGCCGAAGCAGCAGCAGCAGCAGCAACTACATACTATAGCATATAGGCATACATGTGTGTTGTAGATTTCTGCAGCGCGCAAAAGAAACTCTCTGTCCCGCAGAAACTGCTCACTACTGCACATTGAATGCCTTGGCTCGACGTTGCTCCGTGTGTCGGTGTGTATGTGTCCGCTGCTGCTGCTGCTGCTGCTGCTGCTGCTGCTGCACACATACACGTATGCAGACGAGGGAGTGGCAGAGGGAGAGAATCGCCGCTGCCGCTGTGCTTCTTTGGCCGCTGTGTATATAATACGGAGGAGGAGACTCGCGGCTGCATGTATATACAACATGGTTCACATATACTTGTGCATTATTTGCGATTTTGCATCCAGGGCTGCTCCAAAGAATCGACGAAATTGTCATCGCCGAAGAAGAGTCTGCGTGTGTTCGGTGGCTCGATCGCGAAGCACGAGCGAGAAAAATAATCAACGACGTCGACTCGGAGATCTCAACGGATAAGGCCTTTTAATTGATACACGCGGAAATATGAAAGCGAGCCAGATAGAAGTGCGCGATTATTCAGCGTCGCGCAGTTGTATAGTCGCGTCCAATAAACCAGGTTATTTCTATTTGGACTGTTTGTTTAGCTTCAACGTACATATAGGATAGGCACTTGATTAAGCTCGGCGAAACTCGGCGTTCGAGTGCCAATTTTGCACGCACATCGCTACGCGTACATTAGTATAAAATATAAGAGAATCGAGCCCGCGACACCTCGGATCGCGGGATTAAAAGCGTCGATTTAATCATCTCAGCTGTTGCGCGAAAGTAACGATGCCTATCGAAATGTGCTATTTCAAAGTCACAACTAGTCACATCCAACTGAATGGGATTATATTATAGATATATTACGCACGAGCGCGTCGACGACCAACGCTCGTAAGAGGAATGCGCTGGAATATAGATTCCCACATACGTCTATTAGGGGGGCAAATTGGCGTAATCGCCAGCGCTACATTATACGCCGAGAAAAATTAATAATCAAGCTTTTCTTGGAATTTTATTGAAAGCAGCTCGACGAGCGAGCACGAGCGAGCTGCTCGCGATTGCGATGTTTGCCCTGCGCTGCAATTATCCTCTAATTGTACGGCCCGCGAATTTTCGTTCATTTCGCAAGCGCGAAGGACAAATTAGCCGCGAATTACATAGATAGTGTATCGCGTGCTTTTCTCCAGTTTTTTTTCCACCGGCACGATCGATAGCGCTAGCAGCTAACGAAACCGAAATTGATATATAAATAGCACATATATCGAGCCAAGTACGTATGCATTCAACCCGCATGTAAACCAACTCGATATCGGGCTTATATATACTCTCTGTTTCTCTCTGTAGCTCTCTTGTTGGATCGGCGCGAGAATAGAGTCCGCGTGCCCTTGCCTGCCGCAGCCTGTCGAGCAAATGTTCTGCATACACGACTACATACAAATGCATCTGTGTATATATAAGCTTCGAATGCATATCGCTCGCTCCGAACGCCGCTGCTCTCTTTTTCTGCGCTCGTGCTCCGCAGCGCATTCAGCACCTATATGTATATAAGCGCGCATATATAAATTGTTTTTGCTCTCTTTCGCCCGCGCACAGGTGATTCCTTTTTTCTTTCGGCTTTGTCCCTTTTTCGATTTATCGCGCGTTCGCGCCCGTCCTGCTCTTCTCTCGCTGCAGTACACACACACACCAACGCACGCAAGACACGAAGACGAGGGGAATGATCTCTCGCGATCGGGCTCCATTGGAGGGCTCGACCGGTGATTTGTTGTACCTGCAGCTTTTCTTTGCTTCGTCTTTCGCGCCGCTATACCGCGCGCGGCTACCGAGTCAAACGCATACACACATGCCTCTATATATGGATGCTCGCGAGCCTGTACGCAGGGATAAAAGGAGATGACCGATTAGCTCCGCTGCCGTTGCCGCTGCCCAAAGTGTTTATCTTAGCGACCGATTCCAAGACCAGCTCGTTTGTTCGAAATACCAACGACCCAAAGTCAAAGCAGCTATTCGCAATAATAAGCGCGAAGCTCGACCTGTCCAAGACGACGTTTATTCAGTGTCCGTAATTATCCGTGCTTAATTTATTTAACAAGGAAACGAATAAATTCCGCTGCCTTGTAAAATTCATTTACAGCTATTATATTCCCGTGTCCAGCTGCGATTGCTGCTAATTTAAACACACGTACCTCATATAAAAATCGAGTTTCCTTTTTTTTTTCGAGAAATTAAAAGTCTTATTTATATCGTCGATCCAGTGCAAGGCTGATCTCTTTCGATTTCTGGTCATTAATGTCGCCGAATCGGCCGATCTTTCGAACGGAGGCCTGAATTTCCTAAAGTATCGAGATCAACGATCGAGTACGGTCATACACATACAGGCGCTTTTCTCGGCTGTATCAGCTACGCAATATAAGCTACAAATTCAACACACCGCATAGAGCCGAAAAAAAGTCTAATTGGCAACATTCGTTACGAGCCGTAGCATCGAGGCAGCATCATTGAAATCCATTACGAGATACGCGGACTCGAGTTGGCGCAAAAGTCGAAGCAATCGAGTATTACGCGTGCGTGCGTGAGCTGTGTCGAGCTATCCTCGAGTCAGGCCGAAGGGCACAAAAAGCTATTAAGCGTCGAGTCGCGCGTGCACCGATCGCGATTTTTTTCCCCCAACGCCGAGGCAGAAAATTAAGACGATCTGCGCTACATGTGTGCATAATAATGTAGCGTACGCGTATAATGTAAAGCCGGAAGATGCGCAGCTGCGAGTGCCACCGCCGCTTGGCTCGTCGCTCATTTTTCAAGTAGACATCTAATCGAGTTTCTCGCAGCTTTCAACAACTTTAGCCAACGCGTAATGCTCGCAATAAACGTTGGCTTTTGTCGAGGACTCGTCGCTCGAGCCGAGCTGGTACTACTCGAGTGCGCGTCTGGGCCCAGACATGTAAGCTATATAACTGTCGCTGCTGCGCTTGTACACCTTTTTCAATGTCCGAAGGCTAAGTGAATACTCAAATGGGCGATTTCGATTCGAAAAAAAGAAAAGTCGCCGGTATATATTCATTGCAGCTCTCGCGGTGCGCCTCGCTTACCGAGTGTACACAGCCCAGCGCTTATATGCGAGTCGCGCGAGCAAGGAAAAGAGTCAAACGAAACTTGGTCGTAATTTTTGTTATATTCTTGCGAGCGACTCGCTGCTGGTCGTTTCAGAAACTCTTTTTCTGCAACGACAACTCGAGCCTCAAAGGCACACAAATACACACACAAACAAACACACACACAGACACTCGCGTTCACTCATGACTCTGTATTATTATACGTTGGCATTCATTCAGCGAGGAATATGGCCTGGATATTACAGCGATATTGCAGCACATATTGCACTCGGTCGCTCGCGCAGGACGCGAAGACGAATAAATCTCGCTATGGGACGGGCCTTGACATTACAATAGACCCGTTATATAGTCGCAGCGTTTCCTTTTCGTGCGATGTATAATATAATATACCAATTAAGCAGGCAACAACAACGGAATAACGTATTTACGCTCGACCTAATGAGTCCTGCGCGATGCTTAGCTGCGCGCGCGCCTTATTGTCCGAAATATTGCATTGTATATATGATGGTAGTTCTCTCTGCACGTGTTTATCAAATAAATATTTATGTAACACCTACGTCATCCGCGAGCGGCTTTATGCGCGCCGCCAAAAATGCCTTGGCCGTATATTGTACGCGTTACACAACGTTGGCGAAAAAACACGATTTTTTATTACACATAATATTAATTGGCGGCGGATCAACGACGTCTATATAGCTAAGCAAAACGATCTGACGTCATTTTCAAATATATATATGTTATATGTTTATATGAAAGTAAACGGCAGCGAAGCTATACCTTGTAACAGCGACACAATGCCATTCGTACCAAGAGTTCAGAAGCAGGATGAATTATCCAATGATGCAGAGCGTGCACAGCCCCAAGGGTTTTTCTGCATTATGCACTGCGCAGTACATCCAAGGTAGCTCGTTGTTTATCGTCTAGCCTACATTATGAGCTTACTAGATGCGCGTAGGAGCCCGCTCGCCACTCGCTAATGCCCCATCGAGTCTACGTTTTTATCTATCCGTCGAGTACTACGCATATAGGCACTTACTACGGCTCCGCGAGCCATCTTCTACCTATGTATTTGCCGTATGCGCGTCTAACATGGCAATGCAGTGACTTCCCTCGCGCCTTCAGACACTTCACTTTCTCGGCCGTTTGTACACGCGTGTAAGACGTCGCGCATTATGCCCAGCTCATTAAATACGTTGACTGTATACGCACGCAAGCTCCGTCGTTTCGATATCGCATTGCAGTATTGATATTGCCGAATCAATACGTGAAAGCCTACATTATGTCGTGGAAAATATCTACAGCAAGCTGCGTGGCTCGATCGCAAATTCGCCCTTTCCAACAGCCCGACGCTTTTTTCTTTTTTTTCTTTTTTGCTTCAAGCGACAAGCATTGTTGCAGAAATTTTTATTTTATCTGATGTATTATAAAAGGCATTGCTCAACTTTATTACACGACGATTTACGCCGTCAAATAAAAAGCTTTGAGATGTATCGTGCGCGGATTAAAATGTACTTGATTTAATCAGGGCGTCGTTCTTCGTGCCACGCGCTCATGTACATATTATAATAGAGCTTTCACAACGATCGATCACGAATTCAAAAGCTCCATCGAATCTAAATCGATATGCACGACTTAAAAAGTGCTTCGTTCCTTGCATCGATTCGAAAAATCATAATAATAATGAGACGTGGCGGGCAAAAATTTGAGTGCTTCTCGGAAGTCGCTCGTGCGGCAGCAAACTGCAGTCTGTAAAGGGCTACTATGCACACACGCACACGCACTCGCTTTATATGA